GAATTATCTTTTGGACTTATTTTACTTAGTTCTTCATCAGTCACTTCAAACCAATTAGTATCTTTACCAATTGCTAATTGTCTTAAATTATATGCAAGTTTTAATGATAAATAACCATCCGTATGGAATCTAGCAATTCTATCCAAATATTCAAGATTAGGCCATGGAGAATGTAAAACAACACCTTGTGGAACAGGTTTATTATTTGATATAATCCATTGTAAAAGATAAATCCAAAGCATTCCACCTGAGGAAGCACCCATTCCAATTAATCGTTGATTAATATTTGGATCAGCATCAAGTAAAACTTGATAAACATTAATAACATCTTCAATAGTTTCTTTAAGAGAATATTCAGGTGCAAGACGAAAATCAACATGAAGTATTAACATATTAAGAGATTTTGATAGATGACATTCAAAACAAGAATATGTATCAATATCACCAAAAACAAATCCACCACCATGAAAATAAAGAATTAATGATTGATTAGAATATTTCCAATCATTTATTTGTTCATGTTGTATAGAATACATATTTATTTGCTTAGTATTATATTGGAATGTATGATATTGAACAAGACAAGATGATGGTCTTGCTGGAAATAAAGCAGTTAAGATTTGTTTTGAATGATAACGAAACTCTTCAATATCATCATCTGTTAAGTCATCACTTAAATCAAGTTGTGGATAATGTAGTAAAATTAATTCATCTAATGCTTTTGAATCTGCATCCATTGTTATTGATCCAAGGTGTAGAAATGGCATGAGTGTATTTTGGCAAGAAAGAATCCGATGAAATAGTACCAAGCGATGATGTTTTGTTAATGCAAAAAGATCTTTATCAACGAACGGTCTAAAAGTTATTAACAGAGCAGTGACTCCAGTAATACAAAGCAACCAATTGCCAATCATTATCAACACAGTAAATACGAGCAGTCACTGATAAAGAAATCAGTATAGTCAATATAATAGAAAGAAACATTGGTGTTTTCTTTCTTTTATACTCAAACATGAGTAATTAAAAACGTGACATTGACTAAATAAGTACGATTTGATAATACGCTCGATATACAGCACCTGTTATCAGTTATGAAAGTTCATTTTTTTCTATATGACACTTTTCAATAAATAAAAAATAGATAACGCGATATTGTTTTGTTACTAATTGTGCTTGTTATGTAGTGAACCTCAAAAGTGCTGCAACGTTGAAATATACAATGAAACAAAGTGCGTAGTTTTTTTGTAGGCCAACAAACAGATGATCAATAACTTATGGCCACGTGATCAATTTAGTGTTGTATGTCAGGAAGGGAGATTGATTGATAAAACACCTCTAAGAGATAAATAAGAATTTGATGATTATCATACGCTATTAGATTAGACAGAAATAGACCATATTCATATAGTTAGAAATGCGTAGTATACCTTGTTCAAGGTTTTAAATCATGGGTCAGTAGTTTTGTCTTTCTCTCACCATGAAAAATCCAATAAAAAGAAAGACTATTTTTATCTAACGAAATGAATCAAATGAGTCACAAAGACAATGCTTGAGTATAACAATAATTTTGAGGTAGTGTCCTTTTGACATGAAAGTATAAATCATCAATACGTATTTTATTTTATATTTAGTAACTTAGACAATAGTATATCTAATCATCACATATATATTAAGTGCAAGAAACATACTCTTTATCGTGAAAAAGATCTTACCTTGAAAGAGAATATCAGATATAAAAAGAGAATACTTTTATATAAATAGATACAATAATCTTCCTTATTGTGATAAGCATTTTCCTCGTAGAAGCATCAACAAATTGATAAACATTACTGAATAAAGCTACATAAACTAATCATGAATGTAAAAGCAAAAATGTAATAATCAAACATTGTATTGCATGCTATTCAATACTGAAAAAAAAATTATTACTTTTGGCGAAAGAACATGATTAGCTAAATTGATTCATTCTTCGTTTTGAACTAACGCTATCTCTCTATCTTCATTCATATTTACTGTATTACCTTCGTCTGATTCAGAACTATCATAAGTTCAAGAAATCTTTTCTTCTTTTTTTTTTCATATTTTTAACATTCAATTGATATAAATGACGTTCAATGAAGTATATTTGAATAGACTAATAACGAATAATTCGACTTAATTGATCATTTTTTAATTTTCTAACTCATCTTCAGTTCATTATCAAGACAAATGATAAGTAAAATATACAAAAACCTTTGTATACAACTATTATCTTCGTTCTCTTTTTCTTTAGCATTTCAATGCAAGAAGGAGAAACGTTCGCTTGTGTATTGCGATGCAAAAGAAAAGAAAAGAATAACTGTACACAAAAGTTTTTTGTATATTTTACTTATCGTTTTTGTTGATAATGAACTGAAGATCAGTCCGACATATTCATAATTTTTTTTCAAATAAATTTAAAAGTTTTAAAATGATCCATAAAATTGAATTATTTATTATGAATGAGTTTGTGTTTAAGATTTATATTTGCGTCTCTAATGATGATAAGCTAAGAACGAATAATTTGTCCTATAAATTTTATTAAAACTAATACAGTTTTCTATTTACGAGAACGTTAAACTCAAAATTGTGTTTTTTTTTTATATTAGATACTTCGTCATTCTCTTCTTCTTATTGTTTAATGTAAAAAAGATTGAGTTGTACATATTTTTGTTGTTTGTTGATGATGATCTAGTGATGAAAAGATTTTTTTTTAGCAGTCTCGGTAAAGAATAATCAATCAAAATGTTTATAAAATACTGACGAATTTAAATAAAAACTTAGAACTTTCTTTGAATAAATGTATCAAAAGCATTATTATTTAAAATTTAAAAGACGATTGATACCTTGGTTTTGAATTTTAAATTTTTTTAGTATTTCAAAATGAGCTTCTTTAGAATTTCGTATAGCATCTAGTACATTTATTTTATTATGATGTACAAATCAGCTTTTATTAGAATGTATTTATTTTATTTCAGCTAAATTTTATTGAGTATATTCTTTTTTAGTTTTACACTTGCTTGATTGTTTTTCAAAATAATTATTTACATTTCAATTGTGATTGGAATATTGTAGCATGGAGAAATCGTTCAATTCTTTGATTAGGATTTTAGTTTTAAAAAAAAAGGAAGTTCGTTTTGATGACTATTATTAATTGAGATATAAACCAAGATCAGTAGTAAAAGAAGCTAACAGAAGAAAAGCATGTTTTTCAAGTCCAAAAAAAAAAGTAATTCATGTGTCAATTTTATAATAATTTCAATGGAACTGACAACTTTTAGTTTAGTTATTTTGTAGCTAATAAAAATAATTTAGGTATGTAATTCTTTCTTGTTCTAAAATTCATTCGATGAATTTTTTCAAATTTTGTAATCTCCTGAAAAATTAAAGTCTCTTGAAGTCCACTTTTTCCCTCTTGGTAATGAACTAAGATGTTCGTTTCTGCCAGAGTGTAATATTGTCTGAATGAATAAAACAAAATGCTTCGAATAGAATAAATAGTAATGCATCTATATTGACTTACACAAATCTACCATATTATTCTGATTTCATTTGTACTAATTTATTAAGATGTAGCTTACCTTCTACTATAGAATTGATATGAAAAAAGGAAGACTTATATCTAAGTAATAATAGAATAGCATCATTTGTACTCTACACATATACAAATACGAAGATGCCTAAACCTATTAGTATGGTATACTTTAAACGTACTGCCTTTTTATGGAGTATAGAAGATAAATGTAGAGTACTTTATTTTACAGTTTAGTATTTAAAATAGTTCTACGTCCTATTATTTAAAGTTTAAAAAATGTATGATTTCTAAATATTCGTCGAATAACTTAAAGAAATTTCAATAACGGATAGATGAATTGAGACTTAAACTCAAAAGCGTAATAAGATATATTACTATGTATTGTTTTTCTTCCTTGTCAAATAGATAAGACTAGTGAAACATCTTGTTAGTAAGACCTTGGTAAAATAATTCATTTTTTTTCTGAAAAATTATTTCTTGATCATATGTGACGCAGCTGCATCACAGATCTTGATAAGATCTGTTTTAGAGAGAAACCATCAGAGCATCACCCAAACCGCTGGCTGCAAAAGGTTTTTTTTTGGAATTTTAGACTCTGATAAGGCTGTATTGTGAAACATATGAATCCAAAATATTTGGTTTCCTCAAGCGCCTGTGAAATACGTGTTAGATTATAATCAGCAAATTTTTGTTGTTGAATCAATAAAAATTTTTAAAAAAGTCGCTGTTTTCGCCCTTTTATGGGTCTTTTAGGTTTTACCTGTTCCCAATCGACCATTTAAGTCAGAGAAGGTCTTAAAAAATGCAAAAAAAATAATACTCTACAAAATGGACTAAGCCAATAGTCATTACAATAAGTTTTATTAATCCGATTGTGCCTTCACAGTTGTCATCATTCAAAAGAACAATCTCGGAGACGTTGACCGGTATGCAACTTATTAAGTTTAAAGACCTTTTTTGATATTTATTTTCAAAATGATTTCGTTTTTTGTTGTCTATATTCATGAGTTTTCATGATCACTTCATATCAAATTACGCCAAATTGTAGCCTGAATCTCCCTATATATGTAGTAAAATTTCCAAAATTACATTACGGTTTGCATTATAATTTGGCATAGTTTGATGTTAGGGTCATTTTGAAAATTCATGACGATGGACAAAAAAAAGAAATCAGATTGAAAATAATCATTAAGAAGGTCTTTGAACATAATGAATTTTTCTTTGAATCGACGTCCCCGAGACGGCTCTTTCCAATGATGACAAATTGAGCTTCATAGCTTGAAACAATAAAAACTGATTCGAAAAATAATGAAGAACATTTTAATAAAAAATTTGACATTAGTAATTTGTCTCTAACCTCATCAAGTCACGGCATTCTTCAAAAAAAAACGAATTCCAATTCTGAAAACGCTTGAAATTTTTCATATTTTAAGATATTTCTGAGAATACACAAAACCGTGCTCAGAATTTTAGTAGGAATCACAGTTATTCTTCTAAGTAGCAAAATTGTAGAAGACTCTTAAAATCGTGTTCATATTCAACAGGTTTTCACGGCTTAGTTTAATATAAGAGTAAAATAAATAGTGCATATGAAATCAGCGCTAAAGCCTTCATCGGATCAAATATATTTTGGCAAAACTGATCTTCAAGGTAGACTTCATATGTATTCACCCAGAGTATTTTTTTACGATAAATTTAGTCTTGGTACCCCTCAAGATCAGGTTTTCCATAAAAAAAGCATACTTTTAACAGTGTCATATGGTTTTGGCACATACACACCCTCAAGTTCAATTTTCTCACCATAAAAACAACGTGTAAAAAATTTAAATTAATATTTTTAAAGCTTGGAGTCTGGTGATACGAAATGAAATAACATACTTCATCTCATTTCTTCTGACGAAAAGCTAAATAGGTTGACCAAGATGACCATAAATATCCATTCTGAGATAAATTCATGCTATCCCTATTCGACCTCATTTTTTCAACTATATCAAGCATACATGCAATCCAATTGCACCTTTATATTCAGTTTATGTTGCTGGTCATGAATCTGAAATCATATTTTTATTTGAGAGAAACCTAGTCTATACAGTGACTGATTCCTAGTCAAAATAGTTATTGACGACTATCGAAGTGTATCAATTGTAGTCTCTACTAAAATTTCGTCCACATCTTTTTATCTTGCACATAATATCTCAAAAGATGCCACATTTCAAGCGCCTTCAGACACTAAATTCTGTATTTTAGAACGTTATGAGTTGACGAAATTAGACATAGATTACTACCAAAGGACAACTATCAAACATATACCTTTGTTTCCTTATGTGGAGGCACAATCAATTGCTCAAGCATTTGATAAACACGACTGATGTAATTAATTTAGTAGAGAATCCTTTTGTATATCTTTTAAAGCTCTTTTCTGATTCAAATTGATAATCAGAGACAGAAAAAATTTCTAAAAACCATTTCTAAAAATTTTTATGATCTGACTACAAACGTTGGAAGATTTAGATCTTCAGCATTTTTCGTAAATACGCATGAAAAACTAATATATTCGATTCATACGTTTCATGATATAATCATTCATTTGAGCTGAAAAAAATCGAAAACAAAATTTAGTGGCAAGCAGTCATATGCAAGTTTGGTCGAACTTCTGGCGCATCCTCTCTTAAAAATTTCAAGATGTCAATAACATAGAAAAAAATTTTTTATTCTGATTCCCTTGTTTCAACATCTTGAGTAAAACCAAAACTGAAATCATTGACCGATTTATACAATCAAAAACATTTAAATTATTTCAAATTATTAGTAGATATAAATACACAGTGGTTTTCGGGAATAATATTATATCAGAAAAATTTTATAGAGAATTTAATATCTGTGAATAAACAATGAAATTAAAATACTAATAACAGTCAACATAAGTTTAAAGATTTTTCTTGTCTTTCAGCCGAAGATTGATAAAATAAATTAGATTTCAATTCAGACCATTCGCGAACTGTATAGTTTCTTAGATTCAGCTAGATTTTATTTAAATTTAAACATAATAAAATATAAATATACAATGTAAGCTATTTGTTTTCATCTATTTCTATTGTTTTTATTTGTCAATCTTTTAATAATTCTCTTCTATTTTGCTTAAATCTCGATTTTCTTTGACACATATATCACACAAAGTCCCAAAACTATGTAAACATTTGCACAAAGTCAATCCAAATACGAGTTTAGGTTCCAAATATAATCTCCAACTCAAGACATAGAATTCAAAATCAAATTGAATCGAAAGTTCTTGATTCTGAATACTAATTACACTCAAGATTTGTTGTAACCGTATTTATTTTTGATTTCAATTTTATTTCAATTACCAATTGTTCTCCAATCCATTGGCGTATTCTTTCTTGAACTCGTCTACCTTGTAGTGACCAAAGATGAAATAAAGCATATGTATGCATTAATCCTTCAGCTTCGTCCAATATAACTTCTACATCTGATAATCTTATTTTCTCAGTCATATCACGAATCGCATCAATTGATATTTCATTTGTACCAGCTGTTATATAAACTGGTGGAAATCCTTCAAATGAATTATCTTTTGGACTTATTTTACTTAGTTCTTCATCAGTCACTTCAAACCAATTAGTAT